TTTCGTTTATTCAAGTGTCTAAAAGGTATGTCATTTTTTTTCCTTGATAATGAAATTTAATGGGTTGAAATAATTTGTACTGTTCAAAGGTCCGTATCGCCCGCGTTTAGCGCTATTTTCGCCACTGAATTAAAATTATAAATATTAGTGATAGAGTTCCGGGAGGGGGAACTTTTTTTAAGAAATTTCCTTCTCTTCAGGAATCTTTTTTCAAAATTTTAATTAATTGTTTATAACTTTTTCAATTTTTTTCGAGCTCCTCTTGAAATTTCTTAGAAAATTGCTAGAGGTCATTCCGAATCGAATGAGCCCTGGATCAAAATTTTTGGTGCCCTTGGAAAGTTCCAAAAAAAGGATCATGTGACCCAGACTAGTAATGGTGTTTATAAGCCTTGGCGGCAGGAGGTACATTACCCAGTCGTTTTTAATAAAGTCCATGTTTATGGGTGAGCGTCAAACCGCTAACATCGTGGAGGTCGTTCCCCACCTCCTCTCGGCGGGGGCGCGCCTGTCTGAAGTAGAAGTCATTTTGCTACTCTACCCTTAAGGTACAGGTACTCATGAAATGTAGACATGTAAATAGTTTATTTTATTAAAAAGATTTTTGCTTTTGCTTCTGCTGATAATTTAATAAAACCATATGTATTAGACATAACAAAATGTATGCTTGATAAAAAATCTGCAAAGCATCTTTCTACTGTGCTGCTATCAAACGATACTGTTTCACGAAGAATTCATTATCTGGCAAGCTACGTCAAACAAGAATCAGTTCCACATCTACAAAAAACGCGATTCGTCTTTCAAATGGATGAGTTGACTGATAACGCTGGTCTGGCTAGCATGCTGGTTATCGTGAGACATCCAAATGCAAATTCTTTTGAAGAAGACATGCTTATGTGTTCAATGCTGCGCATAAACACTGCCGGAAAAGAAGTTTCAATTAAAATAAATATATTTTTTGAAGACAATAAACTCAGTTGGAACGATTCCATTGACATTTGTACAGTTGGGGCCAAGGCGATGACGGGTAAAACATCAGGAGTAGTGTTACGAATAAAAAATAAAGAGCCCAATTGTAGTTCCAGCCATTGTATTCTGNACTCCATAAATCGTTTTCGGCTATAACTGTAAGAATTTCTGATTCCCTCGATGTATCAAGGCTAGACTCAAGTTAACTTAAATTGTGTATAATTATAATTGCTCGCTCATGTATAAAACAGAAAGCGAATCGAGCGGCTAAACAAGAAATTCAAATAGTGGAAATAAAATGAGCGTTAGTTGCTAAGTGTTGTAAATAAATTAGTTTGTGATTAGTGAAATATTGTTGGAAATAAATTTGTTTAAGACAGTTAATTCGTTAATTTGTTAGAATACATACCCTCATGAAGAGTTTTCAGTTTTACCATACCATACCTTACCTTATTACCATACATTTTTTGAGTGAAGATCATCAGTACAAACATTTCATTATAAGTTAGATATTAACTGAATGAATTCCTGAAGTTCCCACACTAGAAACAGATTAATCAATTGATAAAAGAAATGTCATTCAAAATTACCACTTTACTGTGAGATCTTCATCATGCAGTTCACGAAACCGTTTATTGTTTTTTGAACTCGTCATTGAAAATCTCAGAATATAGTGTTACTTGAATACTGGGTAATTTTTATAGTTTCATTAAGGTGAGATCATTAACAGAGACTAGTGTAAGACCTAAGGTAGATACCCGTGATATACCTATTAATATTTCAGTACTTTCATTTCAGTACTGAATCCTTTTTTTTCGGTCACTGATAGTTTCATAATGAATATTACAGAAATGGCTTCCCACTGTATTCGAAATTTCATTGAAATTTCGACTTTATTGACTGGACTTAATTCCAGTTTCATATCTGGATAACATTTTTTTAACGTACATATTAGGAAAATATCAGTCAACAAGTTAAATGGAACTATTGATAGTGTATTATAAATAATGCAAAATTCCATTGTTCTATTTCATGAATTGTTCAAGCTGCAGTTAAAAACATTCAGGTGCATTTAATTAGATATCGACTTACAAGAAAAAATGATGAATTTGCAGCGTTGCTCATGTTTCAATACATGCGTTCTTTATGTTTTAATGATAGGTAAGTTTGATTTTATTTAATCAATGAATAATCGCTAGATCATAATTAAACGGAGTGTAGAAGGGTAATGAAGGATTGGGTGTACCAGATGTGCCAGCATGCAGATCACTGCGGTTTTTTCTTTCTTTCAATTCAAGTGAAAAATCTGTTCCATTTCTATTCTAACTTTTTATAATAATCACTTTTATTGGCATCAGGACCCTTCGGTGGTATTGGGGGGAGCGTGTAGGAGAAAATCAAAAATTGAATCGCTCTGGCCTATATCATCTGATAAAAATCTTTATCAATACTCATAATGCAGTTTACATTATCACTATAACAGATTTGCGAAACCACAACACTTTTATTTGGGGAAAAATCTTTTGGCTTTCAACTTCTTCATCATTAAACGAAAAAGTGGAAAAATTCAACACGTGTTTTGCTATACAACAGCTTCCTCAAGCGGAAATGATGAATTACTCCTAACCTAACCACTTTATTTACTTCAAACAAACTTTAATTACTTTTTATAAAGTACCCTAACCATATGAATAATTCCAGGCTTGATTCAAGATAATGATTACCCGGTAAGAATAAATTTGACAAAAGAAGTATCCAGTTCTGAATTTATTCATGATTCAAGTATAAGATTTGTGATTTCTGACTCAAGGCAACCCAGAGAAACTCTCAAACAGTTTCTCCCGTTTTTTTGTTTCTCAGTATTTGTTTTTAAACTATTTATTGAGACCTGTGGAAACTGAGGGACAATTTTCATTGAACGTCAATACAATAATCTTTCTGTAATCGGTCAGACAGGAACACCCATTCTTTAGAATCCCTAATTTTAAAACATATTCGTTCTTAGTACTCATAAGTTTTCAGATCTGCCTTGAAGAACTACTAGTTTGTTTGCGTGGATTTTCATAACATAATTTGATCGAGATATGAGGTCGCTGAGTTTGTACCGATGATAAAACATTCCCCACCAGATACACTTCATCTGTGAATATCTAGTAGGTATCTAATATTGAGTGTATTATTTCCCTAAATCTCGCGTTTTTTTAATACAAATTCATTGCCTGCGTTTAGGATGTCTAAATTGTTTGCCTTGATAGACTGTGGTAAGTTTTTACACCTTTCACTGGTGTTGGAGTTCCCCAAGATGAGATGGTGCTCGCTGTCAATAATTTGGACTTTCATTGTCTAATATTATATAAAATGATTTGAAATCCCTGAAAGAACCAATAAAAATTAAAAATTAAAAAGAATAGCTGAAAGTAACAATTATATTAAGCAAAAAAACCTGAAATGAAATTACAGTGAAATGAAATACGAGTAACAAATAGGACAATTAAACAAAAAATGAAAAACCAAAAAAAAAGAGATTCCAAGCCAAGTTACTTCACGACGTTTCGATTGTTAGTATTCACAATCGTCTTCAGGTGATGACTGGACTAATTCCTCTGGGAGATGACTATTTATGGGTCATTCGAGTACTTTCACTTATCTCCGCTTTCCTTTTTCCGCTTCACCAGTTTAGTCGGAGATGACCGTTTGGCGGGAGTTGGCCATTTTTCGCTTGATTATGGATTTCCATATGTTGCGCATATCTACGCTAGCTTGGCTGAATACATTGTTGGACAACATTTATGCGACTTCTTTGAATTTCCTCCTAAACCAGTGTTCCTGCCTGTGTATGATATCAGCTTGGGACCACTCGATGTCATATTGATGAGTCCAAACATGCTCTGCTATTCATGATTTACAGATTTCCCCTCGCTGTGTAAGTTTCTTGTGCTCGGCAATGCCAACTTTCAATGGCCTCTTAGTTTCACCGATATAGGATTTTCCGCACTCACAGGAATTCTTGGAATCGCAGTCCGCGTTAGGTGGCCTGGTTTCCGTGAGGTTGCTACGGATAGTGTTTCCGGATCCGAAGCAGGTTCTGATGTTGTACTTGGACCAATTCTTCTTATCCTTTCTGATAACCCTCTGATGTAGAGAAGTGCAAGCACTGGTTGTGACTGCTTCTCTTCTATGCGGGGCTCTTGCCGTTTTTTAGCCAAAGTTTATTCCACTATCGCTTTGAAGTAGCCTGTTGGAGTTTGTGCTGATTTGCTGCGGAGAGTGTTATCACTATCACCTCTCAATATTTTTATGCGGCTGTTTTTCTGAAAATTACAGAACATCGTAACCAAATCTACCTAGCGACTGGATTTAAAAAACATGTTTGTAGTAAACTTTGAAGCGGAGATTATCATTTTAACCTTACCAGCGATTTGCCAATTTGGGAACGTAGTGACATATTCAAGTCACCATCTATGTTTGTGGTTATTTCACTTATCTCTAACAAACCGCAATAATGGGTTGGATATTAGGTGAATATCTAACACACTTTACGCATATCATACATTTACTCACTGAACCCATCGTATTTGTCATTTTTAACTTTTCCCAAAGCCCAAAATTATCGACTATTGAGAATTACATCACGTTGAAGAAACTAGTTCCTTGGTTTGTTGTTCTCTTTTAGCGATAACTGGATATGTAACTGGAAAAGATCGACCTACTGTGACCATTCCATAGGGATCTGTACAGGGGACATTCGAAAAGTCTTATGGAGGAAGAAAATATTCAGCATTCGAAGGTATTCCTTACGGAAAGCCACCTCTAGGAGAACTCAGATTTGCTGTAAGTCTATTCTTTCAAAGTATTCGAGTATCACATTATACCAAGTAGTGTACTGAAAAATGAAGAGAAGCGCAGAACAGAAGGTTTATATCATATCTTTCTCTTAGATGAAGGTTTCATACTTGCAGTCAAGCTGCGTTGAAGTCAATCGAGTCCCAGGCACACTGTTGTTTGGATCGGATCTTTGCTGCACTGATGAGAGGTAATATCTTGAAACTGGTCCATAGGTGATCTACTCGAATAATTTCAGGATGGTCCTGCTGCTGTATGAACGAGAAACATGTGCAAGACTAATCTCTGTGAGGTATCTTGCATAAATATATTTAGGATATAATTCAATATCCAGCGTGATATTAGCCGGGGAAGTAGCTGTTTTCCTTGTTCTTGTTTTGTATTTCAACTACGAGGGTTGCTAAGGCGTCTATGGAACCAAAACTTCATCTGTATTAAAACTGATTTCTCGGGCACAGAGTTTGATTATTAGACCACTATTCTAATCTATACTTCATTCTTTTTGATATTTCTAGAAGACATGACAATAAGGAGATTGACCTATATGATCCAGCAAAGTTCGGATCTTTTACTTTTTTTAAAATTGAAATTACTGAAACGTCCCCAAGAGAAGGAAAACACACGCCCCTCGAAAGAAGTATATTCAATAGAAGTATATTGACAATGTCCGGTATGTCATCATTGGATATTTGATATTGTCAATTCCTGGAGATGTGGTTTTCGTAAAAGGTTGCGTTAAAAAGTGTGACGTACTTTCTTCAGGCATTTCATCACTCCTAGGTGGTGAAACTGAAGACGGGAAAATTTTTGATTTTGATTTAACTTTACTGCTTATTTTTTGCCTGGATCCCCAGTTTATGCAAATGAGTACTCTTGTTTAATTCAGAGCACCACTTTAACCAACTTTTTTGAGCCCTTGCTTTCAATGTTCTTTTTGTTTCAGCGGATACTTTATGGTAGTTTAGATAATTATTTAGTGGGGAGAAGTTTTTATTGTCTCACGTCTATTGCTCACCAGGGAGGTCGTCGTCTTGTTTTGAATTTCTGAGGTTTATATCTATACTATCGAATATATTTGTCGATACGTTTTCCGATAGCAGTTATCGGTTTTAAAGATTGGTCAAACTACCAACGCCGACATGAAAACTTGGCAAGCTAACTTGGGTGTGACACCAATAAGTGGTTCCACTTATGACTCGCTGGCGTTCAAGCAGTTATTTTCATCAAGTACTTTTCTTGGTTCTTCAGATTTTGTTCTCAATCGAAGAACAACGCCGACATAGAAACTTGCCAAGCTAACTTGGGTGTCACACCTGTAGCTAGATCCACTTATGACTCGCTTGCGTTCAAGCAGTTTTTTCATCGAGTACTCTTTTTGGTTCCTTATATTTTATCTTCAATCGAAGACCGCCTGCCCCGTACTGATGATGCACAACTCGCTGAAACAGCTGTCTACCGGTGGCTCTTAAATTGAAATCATTATGGGAATGATCAGAAGTACATAGCGAACTATTGTAGCCATAATTAGCATTACTCGATATACTTTGAACCACTTCATAGGCGCCTGAAAAATTAATTTAACCTCACTAGCTAACAGTTTCGTTGCAAAATTTTTCCTGCCTAGAGATACATGAATTTCAATTTTCAGGAACCAGAACCCGCAGGAAAATGGAATGGCATCCTCGTGGCTAACCAGTTATACAGGTGTTTGAGCTTTTCACCGATTCCTTTCATGTATGGTGTAAAAGGTATGCAAGAACTCAATACAAAGCACTAATGGTGCAGCTGAGAAGCAGCGGCAGTTAGCGCAGAAGCTGAATATTTCTTAGTTTATTACTTTGATACTGCTAAGTAAACAAAATGAGAGTCTATTGCCCCAAAAATGTTTCCTCCTTTTTGAATATGTAAAAAAATTGTTGTGTTGTCTTATACATATCTACAAGTTTGACGTTTTATGTAAGGATGAATAATAATAATTTACTGAAGCAATCAAAAATTTGAAACTACCGCGATGTGTTTTCAAAATTATCCTCCGTATTCTATGAAACATTCTAACTTTCGATGGAAAAAACAAATCACACTGAAATTTAGCGTAGACGACAATTTTGACAATTAAAATGAAAAATGGGAAAAGTATCTTTTTGGCATACGAAAACTGGATTTTCTGATGAATCTGAAACAATGAAGTTTCAAGAAATTTTCTGGAAATTTGATTTCTATCCAACAGGTTCTACGATGAAGTTGGTTTTGATATTATTTTTTTTTTCAATAATTTCTTGTACTCTAGTATAAACAACCTATGAATCAAGTTATTATGAGGGATACTTTGAATTTAAGTTTCTGAAGTTAGGGTTTTCGCCGCTTCGAGAGAGTGAGAGGGTGAACATTGATTGAAATTGAAGTTGACTTGTTCTAATAATTGTTGATAATATGTTCATCGACGATTTTATACTATTCATCCTTCATATTGCAAAGCAATTTATAGTATAAATTCAATAAACGATACAATTAGATGATATTAAAGTAGGAATAAAACACTGCATATGTGATCACATACTGACAGATGTCAAGATAACTGTTGAAAAAATCGATCAGTAGGTAAGCCAAATGTTTATAGTGTTGTCAATATTTCAGTTACAATGCTGAAATACTTATGAACAATAAATTTACTTAGTGAACCATCCATACTTGTAACTAATCTTGCAAATTATTGTATTGAAAAAAATGAACCTTTCATTCTTATCGAAAAGTTCTTGTGGTAAGCTCAAGTTCGAAAGTAGCCAATCCTCAAGAGCTCACAAATCTTGCCATAGTTGCATTTCAGCTTTTTCCATTGCATAAAAGTATCATTTCTGCATCTCAAACCAGATTTCCAAAAACTTGTGAACGTTTTAGATAATATCTTCAAGTTATCGCCTTGTCCGGGTTTACTGGGATCTTTCAATCGAGGTACCAGCGCTCGAGGTCATCCAATGCACGTTGCATGTAGACGACGCCGAGCTCTCGACCCATGGAAGACGAGAGAAGAGCCGTATCGTCGGCGTACAGGGATATCTTCACACGCTCGGACCTTGGGAGGTCGCTGGTGTAAAGACAATACAGCGTCGGAGAGAGCACAGCCCCATGTGGCACTCCAGCGAGGATCTCTCTGTTATCAGACAGAGAGCCCTCTACTCTAACCCGAAAAGTTCTGTCTTTCAAGAAAGACCCAATCCACCGGATCAGGCCCCGAGGCAGGTCGAATGCGTTCAATTTGTGCAGAAGGCCTTCGTGCCAAACACGGTCGAAGAACTTCGAGATGTCTAGTAGCACAATATGTACTTTTTTATTGCTATTGAGCTCATGGATGGTGTTTTCGAAAAGCCTTAGAGCCTGCAACTCAGTGAAGTGTTCTCTCCTGAAGCCAAATTGTTCATCAGGCAGAACATTTCGGTCCTCAACTTCTTCGTTGAGCCTTTGAAGAACAACTCTTTCAGCCAGCTTGGCCGCCGACGATAGTAGTCTAATCGGGTGATAGTTCTGTGGGAACAGCGGATTCTGACCCTATTTTGGGATCATGACGACGATCGCATGCTTCCACCTTCTGGGGAAGTGTTGAAGGGCCAGCGAATTGTTTATAATGTTCAGCAGACATTCGACGCAGTTGATGCACAGCGGAGTGCCACCATAAAGTATTATAGGTCTTCTCTTTTTATTACGTACCCCGTTTACTTCAGTTTTTGGAGTTTCCTAGATTTTTTGACAGTAGAAGTTGCTTGTCTTCGATTTCTCGATGATTCAATACTTATTTGCCTATTTTTGATTCACTCTAAAATAACTGTGAATTTAGCCAAATCAACTGAACGATATTTTGATTGTATTTTTTCCAACAAATTTTTGAAGTGATTCTCTAAATTGTCATAACATGATTTTTTCATTTATGAACCGATTGAAATTAACCTAAATTTTAAATGGAGCTTCACAATACATTAGTGAAAACCACACCCAAATCGGTTAGACTTTTTTTGAGATTAGTGCTGTGTGCAAAGACAAACATCAGATGAACTTTCTATTGCCTTATTGAAGACCCAAATATCTACATTTACAAACAACAAATCAATGTACTATCAAATATTTTTACTTACGAAGATGACACAAAAGTAAAGATCAGTTTTCCCCTGATGATATTTGTTAAACTCAAAAGACTGTCTGGCCCATGACCTTGGAATTATTCATAGTTTAAGGTGAGACGGTAAAAGAATTCGAATACTTTCACCATCAACGCTGGTGTTTCCCAGGGATCCATACTGTCTCCAACCCTCTTTTTATTGTATATCAACGACTAGTTGAAAAAAAAACAAGAATCCAATATATTGCTTTGCTGACGATAGCACACTTGTCTCTTCATTCCATTTGGATTCCAGGACTTCTTCATGTGCGGATGCACATCTCCACCGGCAGCAGGAGGTTGCATATCTTTATGAGGATCCAGAAGTAATTTCGAATTGGGGTGAAAGTAACCAGGTTCAATTCAATGCCACAAAAACCCAGACATCAGTTTTTTCCAAAAAGATCAATGTCTTCGAACCGGATATAATAATGTCAGGTCAGACAATTCCACTTTCTGCTTCGATAAGTTTGTTGGGGGTTGAAATGGACACCAATATGTCTTGGCACAATCATGTCATTGGAATTGCAGAAGCCGCTTCTTGAAAGCTTGGAACACTGTTCCGAATCAGAAAACTGTACACACCTCAGCAACTTTTGATGCTTCATAAAGCTCAGATCAGACCTTCTTTGGAGTATTGTTCTCATGAATGGAGCTCCATAAGCATAACCTGAAGCTGCTGGATTCCATCCAGAGAAGAGCCATTCGCCTGACTGGAGACGCGAACATCACTTGCAACCTTAATAGTGTGGAAATCGAAGAAAGGTTGGAGATTTGTCTCTTTTCTAGAGATACTTTCACGGGAAGTGTTCAAGTGACTTGGCACATTAAATTCCACTAAGAACGGTACATATCAGAAATACGCGACGAACTGTGGCTGCTCATCGTTTGAGGTTCAACTCAGTTCACCTCGAACTTCACTGATCAAGAACTCTTTTCATTTCGAGAACTGCGTTTATGTGGAATAAACTTCCTGAGAATGTTTTTCCAAATGGATTTAATCTCCAGCGATTCAAATCCAATGTGAATCATTACTTTCGCACAGGCGCTTTAAGGATTTTTCTGCTGTGCTTGTGTTTTTATCCTTGAAAAAATCGAGAGACATCCGTCGACGACCACTTGCAGGGAACGTTCTTTCAGGAAGCTGAAGAGTCATACACAAAAATGATGCGACTAGCCGTCGCATCGAAGTTTGGCCAAGAGCGCAATAGCTCTTGATTCTCCATGTTTCTCGATTGCGTTGATCTTTATTTCCGAAAGTCATATTGATGATCGCTCAAGATGTTGAAGCCTTCCAAATATTTAAGGATATGGTGGTTTACGGCTTTCTCCATGATTTTTGATATTACTAATAGCAAAGCGACTGGTCTATAGTTATATGGAAGATTTCACTTCCCCTTTTAGGGAATAGACTGAACGCGAGTAATCTTCCAACAAGAAGAAAAAACCCTTGCAAGACAGGTTGAAAAGTCTGCAAAATACTGGTGCGAGTTCATTTGCGCACTTTTTAAGTACGATGACGAGCACTTCATCAGGACTAGACGCCTTGTTGACATTGAGCTGTTTCAGAATTCGCCTGACTAGACGTCGAAAAGTAATTTCCGGCATTTTTAATTCTAGTGTGGGAAAAGTGGGTGGTACCTTATTACAATATTGTCTATATAAGTATTATCATTTATTAGACCATATAACACGTTGATAATTTAATTGATTTCTTCAGATCGTTGGTTGACTAGATGAAGAATAGCTACTTGTTGGTCCATATTTTGAATAAAAAAAAGAATTCTGGTGCACTAGTTTCAAAAATGCAGCTACATTTGTAATATTCATGCAAAAAATTGTATGCACAAATCCGATTCAAATCGAGGTTAGAGAAAATTGAAAAGTTTGATTTTATTATAGAATTTGAAATCTAATACAAATTGAAACATTCCATTCTGGCGAATCTTATTATTAATGACGTCACTCTGAGTCGTTTTCGAATACACGCTCGAATATGATTAAACGCTACAACGTGTTCATTATGAAGTGGTGCTTGTTGGTTGAGTTTGAATAGCTTCGAGCCCGACTTCGCCAATGAGTACCAGAAACTTCTATAACTTTTTTCCTCATTTCTCTTTGTATTTTTTTGTATTTTCAGTAAAGCCAATTTATCATTATCATTATTAAATAGGACTATTTTACCTGAACTGATCAGTACTTACCTGCAAAAATTAGCCTGTACCGAAACCTGTTTATGGAAACACTAAGTTTTTTGACGATCCTAGTTTATGAGGATTAAACAACAAGTTGATTTTCTTTACAAATTTAACAAATAAATAACTCTGTTATACTTTGATTCCATATTTCTCAGGCTCCGAAGATTGTCTTTATGTAAACGTTTACGTTCCGTTGGAGAAAATACACGGAAATGAAAGTTTGGATGTGATAGTTCATATCCATGGAGGATATTTCATGATAGCCGCCCCCGCAGACATGTCCGGCCCTGCCTACATTATGGACAAAGACGTGGTTTTTGTGTCATTCAACTATCGGCTGGCAATTCTAGGTAAGATTTAGGCTAGAAGAATACGAAACTATAATTTCTATTTCACCTCAAGTTTTTTTCTATATATCTCGCTTTTAAAAAAATCTAAAGCTCAAGAAAAAAGAAATTTCGAGAAAATTTTAGATTTCGAGTAGAGGACATGAACCCTTCCAAAGTTTCTTCGAGAAAAAGTCAAGAAAATAGAAAAAAAGAGTGTAGCCTTTTTAAGAATGCATAGTAGAAATATCGTGGGATTCAAAAAGTCATTGTATGTTTTTTTATAAATTAATTGTACAGGGCATTATCAATTTATAGGACTGGAATGTATATTTCATGAAGAAATATTACAATAATACCGAAATTCCTTATGTTTGAAGATACCTAGTACTGGAAGTAGTAGGAAACTACTAAAAATGAAAACTTCATATCTTATTCGAAGTATATGACATCACTTGCGTCCAGAAACTGCTATAAACTTGTTCAATAGAAAGAAGGGACTCGTGGTACCCCGTCTGATAGATCTCTTAATTCTCTATCTAAAACTGGTTTATTTTGGAATTCGAACAAGATGTTTCCTGGAGTATCAGTTTCATATTCTTTGTGAGAATCTGCAAACAAATGATGATCAGGGTAAACATCTCTTATTTTAGAATGGACTGCGATTGTGTAACGTATTCATTCTAATTAAGAAAAGATAAATTAAACTTTCTATGTTTTTTACATTGATGGATGTAGCCGTAGTAACGGCTACATTCTATTTCAATAATTTCTGAAGCACCAGATGATCCAGTTAGTCATTTTGAAAAACCACATCTGCCTCGGGACATTCAGCTACTCTCGAATCACCCTGTCTTAATGAGATGCCCATCTTGCAGAAACGTAACATCAGTTGAAAATTCATTTGGGTTCATCCGTACTATTTCATCAATCAATTTTTGACACTACCGTAATATTTCATGAATAAACTACCAACAATACTATGTAAAATTATTTTTAGATACTACTCTAATTATTCCATTTTCGATAGTATATCTTAGCAAATTATCACAAAAACATTTCAAAATGTATTTAATTAATTTGTAAACAGACTTCATTAGAGTCATAAATTAGATGGTGAACATTTTCAATATTTATTGGGATAAACTGTTGTTCGTTTATTATTGAAATTATGATATTGTTGTAAATTATCCCCTGAAACAAAATAACGCCAAACGCCGCTGGTCTTCGTCAATCGACGTTCCACTCGACTTGCGCGTCTCGATCGTTCTAGATGTCATGTCGCTTCGAGAGACTTTTCTATATCGGCNTGTCATTGTTGTTTCATATAATTTTTACATTTTTCATTTATTTTGCAGAGTCCTTAATTGAACATGAAACTTTTACTTTCTAGAAACAGCTATTCCAATTTCCAAAAATTAACCTGTGTTAGGTAGAGACTTGTCATGTTCACTATTTTGAATTCTGAGAATATTAGTAACATTATGTATCATTATGTCAAAGTAAACATTATTTTAGGATTTATGAGTACTGAAGATGATATCGTACCCGGAAATAACGGAATGAAAGATCAGGTCTTAGCATTAGAGTGGGTTAGAGATAACATCAGATACTTCGGTGGAAAGCCTGATTCAGTTACCATTGCAGGTACATCTTCGGGAGGATCATGTGCACATCTTCATTACTTATCTCCATTGTCAAAAGGTACGTTACAAAAATATTATTTAATTATAGTTCAATATCAATTATTGAACGTTTATTGATCCCAAGAAACATGCTTGTGGAGGAACAATATCAAAAAATCAATGAAAGTACAAACAAACGTTACATACATACATGAATATTATCAACATCATTGAAAACAAATATTATAATTGAATCAGAATTATTGAAAAAGGAAAAGAAAATCAGCAATTCAATATATATTTTTTCAGATCATTCTTTTGTCTAGGAAATGTTTGATTTAATTTTACCAGATAATTTAAGAAACACTTGCTACATGAATAGCATTTTACAAGTGTTGTTCATGACGAATAATTTCAGGAACGAGGTTTTAATGATGAACGATAACGAGAATGTTTCCTACTTATTCATCAAACTTAAACACCTGTTCATGCATCAGCTGCAGTTCCGTAAGAATATATCATCTTTCCCTCCAACCGATTTCTGGGAGTCTTTGAGTCCACTAGATACTCGTTAGGACAAGAGGATTGTCCTGACCGCTCTGGATTGAATTATTCCGTACAATCTATCTCGTCTTGTGTTTGTAAATTGTCTTGTTCACTTTGTAGTAAATGTTCAAGAGGTAGCAAAGCGTATGTGAATTTCTGGAACTTCAACTAGCGTTTCCTAGTAAGACTAATAACCAGTTCGTGCAAAGCTTATTGTTAAATCATCTAAAAATGGAACTTTTAACAGGTAATGATCGACTGTATTGCCAAACATGCGCCGAGCTAACTAACTGACTGTTATAGGAAAAAAGTATATCTGAGGCACTAGTCAATCTAATAATATCATTGATGATCTTCAAACATGACTCAACCTCTGACGGAAGCACAAAACTCTTACGAAGGTTCGAAATAGATGAACACTTCAATCTAGCAGACCACTATTTTAATCTTCATGCAGACATTGTTCACTGTGGTTCTGGCGTTTAACCTGGTCATTATTACGCCTTAATGAAAGACGAAACGGACTGGTTTTAGTTTAATGATAGTCGTGTCACTAAGTGTTCTGGTGATGTATTGAATTTATTGGAGCCCCTGGAGACACCCTATATTTTGTTTTATGAGAGAGAGGATATTAGCAGATCAAGATCTTCAGATGATGTGGTGCTGCAGGTTTTTCCTGGTTTTCCTGCAGCTGAAAAAGCAAATGCGCCACTGGAATCAATGAAGTTGCCCCGGAGCTCCAATTAATTTTTATTGTTGTTTTATAATTTCATGATTTGTATTTTGGAAGTGTTAATTACATTTTTTCCAGATAAACTATTGTGAATGGTTATTATTATGAATTATTCAACCGAAAAATGTAATGTATTCGTCTCTTTACCTGTTAGAATTACAGAGCCTAAAAAAGAGAGAATATGGATAGCTGATGAAAATATTTCATAACCATCATGACTTAAACTGGCATCATACATTTCAGGTTTATTTCACAAAGGCTTCTCGCTGAGCGGTACTGCCCTCGCGTCATGGTCCCTCACAGAATACCCTCTGAAGAAGGCTAAACTGGTCGCGAAACATCTCCAGTGTCCAACAAACTCCACCACAACCATGGTCGATTGTCTTCGAAAAGTGGACGGAAAAGAGCTGTTATTAGCGATGAAGAAGCTGCTGGTTTTCATAGAATCGATTCCCTTTTCCCCCTTCGGTCCGGTGATAGAAAGGGGGCCGGAGGAACGACGATTTTTACCCCATCACCCTTATAAGTTGTTGAAAGAAGGCAAAATCAACGATGTTCCTTGGGTGACCTCAAACGCTAGGGACGAAGGGATTTATCCAACTGTATGTAAGTTTAACATATGTAAATAATGTTTTCATAAGTTAATGCTTTTTTGTTGATTTCGATTTGTATGGTGGTGAAGTAATATGGATTATTAATTAGTGGGAAGGAAATGTTACGTACCAAAAACCCAATAAAAAATAAAGTTGAGAGTGGAAGGAGAAAGAAAATCACGTAATGAAATTACCTTTGCAAAAGATTTATTGATAGGATTCAATAAGAATTTAACAGTAAGGTACAAAAATAGTGACAAGATTTATTAGAAATGAAACATTATACTACATGGGCTGAAAAGTCTCGGGCCTACCACATAGATGGCGCTAGTCTTATTGCATTCACCGCTTTTTCAGTTAGTACTAACCTTGTACAAAAGAAAGCGGTTGTAATTTCATGAAATTCTACCTATAAGTTTGTGAGTTATTGTGCTAAGAGTGACACTAGTATTGTTATTTTCAAATCAATGGATCAAAAACAGTTTCGTGTTTTGATTTTACACTGCTTGTTGATACGAAAAAAATACCGTTCAAGCGATTTAAAACATAACAAATCGGAATTTTTGCGTCGATATGTGACAATGGATAAAACATGGCTCTATCACTTAACTCCGGAATCAAAACGATCGTTATCTGAGTGGAGAGCAACTGGTGAACCTCGTCCAAAGCGCCAGAAAGCCTAACACTCGTCTGAAATGGTTATGGCCTTGGTATTTTGAGATGTGCGTGGTGTAATATTCATCGACTATTTTGAAAAGGGAAATACCATCAACAGTAAATATTATATGCCGTTTTTGTGTTTCGTCAAGACAACGTAACGTGTCACATGTCAAAACAATTACAAAAGTACATGAATTGAACTTCGATTGCTCCCAAATCCACCGTATTCGCCAGATCTGGATCCCAGCGACTAGTGACTGCTCGCAGACCTCAAAAAAATACTCACCGGTAAAAAATTTCGCTCGAATGAAAAAGTTATTGCTGAAACTGAGACCTATTTCGAGGCAAAGGATAAATCCTTATACAAAAGTGGTATTGAAATGTTAGAGCGGCACTGGAATGATTGTGTGGCTCTTAGTGTAAAACTTTAATATTTCTTATCTTCACAAACAAGTATTAACTTCTGTGATCTGTCTGTATGTGGTTGTTTGTTTCTAAATTTTTTTTTGTAACCTTTGATTTTATCTATCAATGCGGGAATGTATGACAATGATATTTTATTATTTTTTTATTATTATTGGTGAGTTTTAGAAAAACTGAAATCACAGTGAACATAATATGAATATTATGTTTACTGAGATTTCAAACCGATTGTGTTATTCAATTGACCTGGATTGTGAGAATTTAAATTTTGTGTTATGTGCTATATAAAAGATTTTTGTAAAATTATTTTTATCATTTCTAGAGGCTATGTCACGCACAAGGAGCAATCTTGCGATTGTCTCTTCAGTGATG